CGCAAAATTTTATTTGCTCATTTCATCTGTGGATACACCCTGACCTCTTAAGATAACCACTTCATTCCCCTGCGGTTGCTCTTTCTCCACTAACGGCACAATGTGGTCTGACCTGCTTCAATAAAGTTCCCTTTGAATCTCATGCACCTCGGTCTCTTTACTCAAACTACATCCTTCATCCAGAATTTACATTAATTAAAATAAAAGTATGAAATAAAACGCGGAAAGATTCAACACAATTTCATGTCTCATATGGGTTGCAATCACCCTCTAATTTGGTAGTCATAAAACTCTATGAGAGCAAGACGGGATTTGAAAGAGAAATCCATAAAAGAGACTTCCAATTTATTGCCCCCTTGAGTGAGGGGCTGGGTCCACAAACTCGCTTGAGTAATCTTGTGACTCAAAGTTGACAGAAATCATGTGGATGTGATTTAATCAAGTTGCTGGGGCACTCAACGATGGCGGCACGGTGGCTGAGTGGATAGCACTCTCGCTGGGTTGAAATCCCGGTCGGAACAGGGTCTTTCTGGGTGGAGTTTGCATGTTTTCCCCGTGCCGGCGTAGGTTTCCTCCGGCTACTCCGGTTTCCCTACCACTAAAAACAGGCTCACTAGGTTAAATCCATCAGCTCTGGTAGTCCTGACCAAGCCGAGCATCAACATCTGGAGATGGGTTCCCGGGCGCTGTTCTACGGCGACCACTGCTCCTGACGTAAACCTTCGCGGCATCAGGATTGGTAATGCAGAGTATTGAATTACCCTACGGGGATTCATAAAAGTTGGCCTTTACCTTTACTTGCATCTATGTTGTACACATTATTATGTGAGCATTCTTACAAACTGAAACTATTTTGACTGAATCCTATTTCTCAATCTTTTATTGATTTGAATTTCTGTTCCAGTTTATACATGGATGGAACGTGTTTTTTTTCAAAACTTTATTACATTTTCCAAATGTAGATAGTACATATAACAGAATATTACAAAAATGCATGTTGAATTACAAATGTATATTCATGTTAGTCAAGTGTATAATGACAATAATACACTTGAACACAATAATAGATACTGTCACTGTGGTCCAACCAAACCAGCATGTTTTTGGAGGTGAGAGAAACCATTAAGAATCTATGCACAAGAACAACATGCCAACTCCACTCAGATGTCCTCGAGTCGCCAATGACCCTGAGACATTCTTGCTGAGCACTGAGAGCAATAAACGCTAAGCATGTAAAGCAACAGTCAAAAATATATAAACACATGTACAGTGACCTCCAAACCGTAATACCACATATGTCAAAGTCTGAGTAAAATGCAGCTTAATCTCCTCAATCTTCAATCGACATCAAGTTCTCATATGTCCACCATGGAGGGCTATGCTAATCCCACAGTCCAACTCAGAAAAAAGTACTGTCCTACTTTCAGATGAGAACTGAAGAGGGACAAAGAGATATTACAACAGCACAAAGCTGCTTAAACTTCAAATTGACATGGAAAAAATAAATCTTTCAAATCCAAAGGGCAATCAACAAAATGTCTTGAGATTAAAATATTTTGTTATAGGATTACTGTGCTGAATGCTCCACTCCATCATTCTCTGTGTATACAATATTTATATTAATACACATTATGTAAAATCTGTTTATGGTTTATGGTGTGTTCCAATTATCGTGGGATCACACTCCTCAGCCTCCCTGGTAAGGTTTACTCCAAGGTACTGGAGAGGAGGTTACGGCCGATGGTCGAATCTCGGATTCAGGAGGAGCAGTGTGGTTTTCGTCCCGGCCGTGGAACACTGGACCAGCTCTACACTCTCCATCGGATACTCGAGGGTTCATGGGAGTTCGCCCAACCTGTCCACATGTGCTTTGTGGATTTGGAGAAGGCGTTCGACCGTGTTCCCCGGGGTGTCCTTTGGGGGGTCCTCCGTGAGTACGGGGTCCGGGGTCCTCTGCTGAGGGCCGTCCGGTCCCTGTATGACCGGAGCCAGAGCTGTGTGCGCATTGCCGGCAGTAAGTCAGACCTGTTCCCGGTGCATGTTGGCCTCCGCCAAGGCTGCCCTTTGTCACCGGTTCTGTTCACTGTATTCATGGACAGAATTTCTAGGCGCAGCCAAGGGTCGGAGGGGGTCCGGTTTGCGGACCACAGGATTTCATCTCTGCTGTTTGCAGACAATGTGGTCCTGTTGGCTCCAACGAACCAGGACCTGCAGCATGCACTGGGACGGTTTGCAGCCGAGTGTGAAGCGGCTGGGATGAGAATCAGCACCTCCAAATGGTGCTCGACCGGAAAAAGGTGCCTTGCCCTCTGCAGGTGGGTGGAGAGGCCCTTCCTCAAGTGGAGGAGTTCAAGTATCTCGGGGTCTTGTTCACGAGTGAGGGAAGGATGGAGCGTGAGATTGACAGGCGGATCGGTGCAGCGTGCGCTAGGGCTGGGCGATATGGCAAAAAAGTTAAATCTCGATTTTATTTCCTGCTTTGGACGATTTCGATTTTAAAATCGATTTTCATTAAAGTTTGCCCTTAAAACTATTTTTTGATCTTTCCACTCAATAATCAAGTTTCAAAACCATTTTTATTTTGTTTCCCCAAATACGTATTGTAAAAGTACTGTGCTGATATTGCAAGTATAATTCATGTGCTGCTGGAACTCTCAGAATATCCTTCATTCAATTTCACGATTTTCACATTTTTCACAAATTCGATTTTTTCAAAAGCCGATTAATTGCTTAAATTCGATTTATTGCCCAGCCCTAGCGTGCGCAGTTATGCGGTCGCTGTATCGGACCGTTGTGGTAAAGAGGGAACTGAGCCGAAAGGCAAAGCTCTCGATTTACCGGTCAATCTTCGTTCCCTCCCTCACCTATGGTCATGAGCTTTGGGTAATGACCGAAAGAACGAGATCGCGGATACAAGCGGTCGAAATGAGCTTCCTCCGCAGAGTGGCTGGGAGCTCCCTTAGAGATAGGGTGAGGAGCTCAGTCACACGGGAGGAGCTCGGAGTAGAGCCGCTGCTACTCCACGTCGAGATGAACCAGTTGAGGTGGCTCGGGCATATGTTCCGGATGCCTCCTGGACGCCTCCCTGGGGAGGTGTTCCGGGCACGTCCCACCGGGAGGAGGCCCCGGGGAAGACCCAGGACACGCTGGAGGGACTATGTCTCTCAGCTGGCCTGGGAACGCCTTGGGGTCCCCCCGGACGAGCTGGAGGAAGTGTGTGTGGATAGGGAAGTGTGGGCGTCTCTGCTTAGACTGCTGCCCCCGCGACCCGGCAACGGATGAAGCGGAAGAAAATGGATGGATGGATGGATGTTTATGGTCATTTGTAAAATCTGTTTATGGTCATATGTAAAATCTGTTTAATAATAATAAATAAAAAAAATTACATTTAAAGACGCTTTACAGAATAACAAATCAGAAACAATATAAAAAGCTAAAAATACACAGTGTGCAGTTTTGAAAAGGTGGGTTTTAAGCAGTGATTTGAAGGTCAGAAGTCTAATATAACACACATTTTGTTATGGTGTGGATTTATTTTTGTATTTTTTGTTTGTATTTTTTGTAATTTTGACGTCTGTTATCTGTGAATTAGTTTTAGATTGACTTCCTGTCCTGTTTCCCCTGTCTTGATTGTCTGCCCCGCCCTGATGTGTTTCACCTGTGTCTGTGTCTATTTGTACCCTGTGCTCCTCTCCCCTTGTGCTAGTCCATTGTATTGTCAACGTCTGTCTTGTTTGTTCATGTCTTCAGTCTGTTCCTGGTTATTTTGGTTTTTAAGTTCTGTTTTTTACCTTGGACTTTATTTTATTAAATCATTATTTTGGCATTCTTGCATTTTGAGTCCTCCTCCTTCCCACCACATGACACATTTTTTCCCAAATTGTAAAGAAGTGAGTGTTTCAAAGTGACAAAAAAATTGATAAGTGAAAAAGAGGGGACTTCGATTCATTGCCCCGTTAACCTGCACTGGGCCATGAGAGCACTTTGGAGAGTTAATTGATCAGTTAGCAGTAAAATGGGGTCACCACTCTGAAAGCACAACCCTCCCATTAGCTGGACAGGAGAGCCTTTTACACTTTTCTTTTTTCAATTTGGCTGTTTTTTTGTTGTTGCACTGAAATCATCAATGAGTGCAGTCATTTGTGTTACTTAGTGTGTTACTAGTAAGTATTGCATTGAGAATTTATGATTTTGATATTGATTATTGAAAGCTAATGCAGTACAGACCATGTGTTGGGACATGCATTTTCTTTGGCCCAGTAAAAAATGAACAAATCAAACCAATATTTACTTTTTCATCTTATTAGAGAACTTGTTATCTCTGGCATACTGGTTTCCTACAAGTATGAAATCTTTTTTATTTTTTTTTTACTGATGTAAGGTACAGATCTTTCAAACAAATTTAAATAGACAATAATGTACCACATAAGGACAACACAAAACCAGTGTGTGGGTGTGAGGGAGCAAGAGTTGAGATTAAAAGAGATAAAAAATAAAACATTTGTACAATAAACATGAACAGTACAAAAAAAAAAAAAAACGGGTGGATTAAAATATAATTTTTCAAAAAAAGTGTGTTTTTTTGCTTTTGGGTAATTTGAGAGATTAGTATATTGCTTATGGAGATTAATTTTGTGTTGAAATATGTTTTCAAGAGGGGTTTTCAATACAAAGAAAAAAAAAAGATTTATGTAGGTGTTTATTGGCTATATGATCTACAGAATTTATTTAGTTAGTAATTATTGGATGACATTTTACTTTCCCAGCACGTCTTTCCCAGTGCACCCAAATCATACATCCCAGACTCAAACAAATAAAAGCACGTGCTGTTTTGTGAGATTCGGGAGCGCTCGTTTCAGGCACTGTGCTATCCCGCCGAAGCTCAGCCTATCACAGCCTCTCCTCTCGCACAGACCCACCGCATCAGCAGCAGCAGCAGCAGCGGCAGCATCAGCAGCCGCCTGTGAGGGAAGAGAGCTAATAACTAGCGCTGCAGAGACATGGGCAGCATCAACATGGCTCTATCCGTGCGCCTCGCCTGGCTCTCTCTGCTCCTCCAGGCGGGCCGGGTGTGCTCTCTGATGGGGGACGAGGACCAGGGCCAGGACGCCGAGTGTAAGATGAAGAGCGTCACCGTGTCCGCGCTGCCGTTTTTGCGAGAGAACGACTTGAGCATCATGCACAGCCCCTCGGCCTCGGAGCCAAAGCTGCTGTTCTCCGTAAGGAACGATTTCCCCGGGGACGTGGTGGTGGTGGACGACCTGGAGAACACGGAGCTGCCCTATTTCGTCCTGGGTGAGTCTCTGCCACTGTCCCCAAGTTCAATGTCGCCACGTTGCCGCTGTAGAACATATGTTTATTAGTAGGCCTAGCTAAACAGGTGTGCTCTGTTATTAGCTTGTTATCCCACCGCTGCTAAAAACTAAAAATCAGATCGCTTTTGGCAGCTTTCTGATGGCCATGTGAGGTTGTAAGGGAGCCAAGTGGTCCGTAGTTAATCCAGTGCTTCTTGTTGATACCCTAATGCTACATCTTAGCTTAGCATCATTGTAAACACAAACCAGCCTCCTCTCTTTCCCACACTACAACTGTTTCTTATATCATGTCTGACTCTTGTATTAATATAGAATTCCCCAAAATGACAGTTTTCTGTTAGGATTGCTCATTTTTTTGTCACATTCACATACAATTGTTGAACTCTGGTAGTGGTGGTGTTTGACTTGTGGGAATTGTTGTGTATTGAATTGTATCGTTTTTAACTTGGAGCCTGTGTGTTTTGCTTTGAGATTCTACAGCAAATGATCTTTTCTGAATCTGAATCTGAATCCAACATAGATTAATACATAATTCTAAAAGTTACTAATATTAGTAATAGAGTTTTTTAACTCCGACCGATCTGATATTTGAAACAGCAGTTATTAACGTTTTCTGCACATATTGCTTGCATACCTTTATCTACACAAGTGATGTCTGACTCTGAAAAAGGTCTTTGTTAAGGTGAAGTGTTTGTGTGTCTCTGGTTTCTCAAAAATTTCTGCTGTGGTGGAAATGGCCACATGTCGCTGTCCATGGTGCTGAATCGCACATTTCAAGTTACAGCGATTCAAACATTGAATATCAACACAAAAATACATGTTTTTTAACTTTGTAGTTTACACCATGATTTATTGAATGTAGTGACTAATAATTATGCATTGGCGTTATATAGCATTTATTTGGACACTCACATGGTATTATTCAATTCATCCATACATGGTGATGTGCTGTACCTCTGTCCATCACCAACCATTCACGCACACACTGCAGCCATACACCAAACAAGTTATGTATGCTGAACCCGCTCACATGTGTGGAGTGTGAAAAAACATGCCCACAATTCGGGCGTTCTGCTCTCCCAAAATTTCATCCACTGAGCGGCGCTGTGATCAAAAAATGACACCGTTTGTTGCCCAGTTCACTTCCGGTTGATTTCATACAATGGCGAATATGGCTCACGAAAACAACAAACGATTGACAGTGCCTGAATTGCGTGACAGGTTGAAGCGAAAGGGTATTTGCAGTGTGGGAAAACGAAAGGAGGAATTTTTGTTGCTAGTTCAACGAGCGGATGGTGTTTATGAAGATTTAGAAGAAGATGACAGCGAGCAGAGTGAACGAAAACGGCTGTGTGTGCGAGTGACAGATGGTAACAATGAGAATGAAGTTCAGCTAAGAGGGAAGAATGTGAATTGGACGGATGATTTGCGCGATATGCCACTAGTTAGAGACGGGAATGTATTTGCATACAGAAAATGACGAAAACACTCAACCATTTAGAGAAAATGCGCCGGGCAGAGAGAACCGGAAGTTGCGAAGGCAAGTGTTACCCATAATGCAACGCAAAATTCAGTCGCTCCCCCGCCCATCGGATGGAATTTTGGGAGAGCAGAACGCCCGAATTGTAAAGCACTTTGTGACTCTGGTCTATGAGAGGCGCTTAATGAATAAAGATTACTTACTTATTTACTATGACTCATTCTAGGCAATGTGAAGGAAGTGTCTTTGCTATGGACTCAACAGCAGTGTGGCACTTTAAATATGCCTCTATATTGTGAGATCAACGAGTTAGAATAGATACTGACGTCATGTGTTCAGTCATGTGCTCAGTAGGATTACTTTTCTAAAATTTAAACAGACTCAGAGTCAACATTGTTATATTTTGATTACTTGTCGGAAAGATCCCTGCTTTGGTTGGAGAGCTGATTGACTGAGTGATGATGAGTCCTCGCTTTTGGTCTGATCCGAAATCTAGTGATAGAACTAACGTTTTTACAGAACGAGTTTCTAGAGATATGGATTCAAATGTCCTTGCGGTTTAAAAGTTAGGTACCCCAGCTTTAATCAGCAGCTCACATTTAATTAACGTCCTCAGTACAGGCATATGCGTTCTTTTGTTTATGTCTCATGAGATCGTTTGCTATTTAAGAAGATTGTCTTTGAATGACAATCCACAGCTTCACTCACTTTTCAGGAAACGGAAACCACTGAGAGCGTATGGGCCTATAATGATAACAAGCCGTAATTACCTTTTTAAAGCAGTGTTTTGAGGCCTGTAGATAAGATGAGTTTCACCGCTCTGCTCTTGTGAGGGAATTAAAGTCTGTCAGGAGGATAATGCTGAGGTGACTAAGACACAAAGCTCCATGATCAATGTTGGAAGCATACACTTTACCTTGGAGGAATATTTGATTAAAGGCTTCTTCAAATACTACCTACTTTCACAGAATATATATATAATATTGTTTTGCTTAGATCCATTTTTAAAAACATGATTATTTACCATATTTTTTGCATCATTAGGCACACCTGATTACAAGGCGCAACAGACTATATATTTTTAATGCTGGTTTACCGGTAAAACAAAAGCACAATGCAGCATGAATGTGAACAAGTGTCAGTTGTCAAACACTATAAATCAATTGTATGATTTGAACTTACTCAATTTTATTATCCCTCAAAAAAAAAAAAAAATCAGTTTGAACCTTTTTCAGTTGTAAACAAAGTCAGTTATGAAAATATAGCTAGTTCTGTTAACACCAAAACGCCAGAATCTCATACTTAGGGTGCACTGGAATATAAGGCGCACTGTTAAAAGTAAACATGGAGAAGGAAGTGTATATACGCGCCTGATATTCAAAATACCGCAGCTCGAGTCCTGACTAGAACCAGGAAGTACGATCACATTAATCCACTTCTCAGGTCTCTGCACTGGCTTCTTGTGGCTCAGAGAATAAACTTTAAAGTAGCTCTGCTTGTATACAACTGTCTCCATGGCCTCGCACAGGTACATCTGTGACAAATTAGTGTCATATGAACCAACTCGGACTCTGAGGAGCACAGGGACTGGCCTCCTGCTGGTGTTAAGAGTCAGGACTAAACATGGGGAGGCAGCATTCCAGACGTATGCTACTAGAGAATCTATATTTAAGTCTAGACTGAAAATAGTAATTTTTAGCCGTGCCTTTGACTGATCATCAATTAACTCATCTGTTGGTTTTGAATTTCCTTTTGTGTGTGTTTAACAGTGTGTTAAACACAGTGTTTTAATTTCCTGACTTTTTTTAGTCTTAAAATGTTGTCAATGTGAAGCACTTTGGGTAGCATTTTGTATGAAATGGACTAAGGCCAGACGAAGTTAGAATGGGCGATGTGGGAAAACACACAGGAGCTTTCCACGGCTTACTATTTTCAATTCTGCGTACGACGTGTACAGTTTGAATGAGTACATTTCTTTCAACAATGAGGAGGATTAAGCGGTTGTTATAGTGATGACAGTGGAGTCACTCTAGGTTCAACAGGACATGACAGTTCTGATCAATGATACAATAAATAGAGCACACATTTTTCTTTTAACAACATTTGAGGTGAGAAATGTGACCCTATATTGTCATTTTGGTGATTTGTTGAGCTGTAAATAATAAAAAGTTTGGACTTAAGGGGGAAGCTTTGCAGCAGTAAGCTAACAACTTAGATTTACAGCCTGCTTTTAGTTTTTTCTAAGAACACCTTGGTTAGAGGCGACCTTTGGCATTTAAAGATGTATTTAACAGTTCTTTCTCCTTGTTGCCTCGGTTACTACAACCGTATACCACACAAAATTGCTGTATTGCATCCATCTATCTAAGATGTCTATCTATGAAAGTCAGTAAAGTGAAGACTGCGGACTGTCAGCTGTGTATGTGGCAGATGCTACGCAGGCTAATGCCAATGTCAATGTATTTCTTCTGCTCCTTTTTAGGCATTTTTCTAAAAATCGACTCCTGTTAAAGAAATACATTTTAGCAAAATGGAGACTTCATAAGTTCTCCACTTGATACTTGATACTTGAGCAGTTGCCACAACAGTACACCACAGAAAATGAGCATTATGACTTAGAATCAATGAATATTATTTACATGTTCTTAATGGGGAGATTTACTTCCCGTCCCTCGGAGGACTTTTGCGCCACTGCGTGCCATCAGCTGCAACCCAGATATACACATTGGTTGTGGTTATCGGCCCAATGTTACTCATGGTCCGATGCCGATAGGTTAAAAAATGCTGAACATCGGTTGATATTGATATTTAAACCGATATATTGTGAATCTCTAATTAAAACACATAGCTAAATAGTTTAAATTAATATGATAATTGTAGGATTATTTTGCAATATTCTCTAACAGCCCTAATTGTAGATATGTATACAGCTTAGTTTAAATGTAGGCCAGCTCCTTCTTTCCTGAAACACTGCTGACACAGACTTTTATGTCTGGTGTGAGATCATGTTTTTGACTGTGCAGTCGCTTCAGCACATTCAACGCCAGTTTAAATTAGGTCTATGGCACCATTGGCAATTTTCTGATTGCAGCTGCTCCCTCCCAAAGTCAAAAAATGCAAAGTGCAGTTTTTAGGCTGCACTGGGACCTGGTAATTAGAGCGTTTGTGCACTTTGGGAATGTAACACATGACTTAAGCGTTACTGTGTGCAGCCAGAGAGCAGCTTTGAGAACACACAATCTCATATCACCAAGTAACTAACAGTTCAGGATCATAGACCTAACCTTAAACATAAACTGAGCACTAACACTAACCCCTAACCCAACAACTTTGACATTGATTCTGGACTGGTGACATCACAAATGATTGCTAATAATGAAAAGAAAGAACACTCCTATATTCTGTTATTGAGAACTTTAATGTTTATTCCATGATATAGTTCAAGGTATTGAGGACGGTAGATATTTAATTCCCTATTCCCTATTTTACTATTTTGTTTACATTTTTAGTTGTATAGACCTATTTCGGTGGTTCTCCAAAACACCGATCAGTGAGTATGAAATCAACTCAAATCAAGATATATCATAAAGTGTCTAAACAGGCTAAAATCATTAAAATGTAGTTTATGTAG